CCTTCTTTTCCCAAACTCTTTTAGCAAAACAAACAATTAATTTCTATAATTGCCCAATGCAACCAGCCACCAACAACAACAATTGCCATAAACAACAACTTTTCTTTTCAAGAGCAAAAAGATTAGCACGAAGGAACAAAATGTAAAGGAAACTAATTAAATGCCACTGAGATAAAAAATGAATGGAGGAAAAATTTTTTTCAAAGGAGTGAAGAGTTTTTAAAAATAGATTTGATTTTGAAAAATGGTAAAAACTAGAAATTTCAAAAGAGTTGTGTGGGAAATTGATTTTCCAAAGACCCGAAACGGAAAACTGATTTGAAGTATTATCTGAAATTTTTTTTCATATGAGTTCATATGGAAAGTTCTGGAAACAAACTTAGATATCCTGAGAAAAAAAAACGGCCCTCCTTAGGAGACTTCAAAATCCCAATATATATTTATACTAAATATCCTTAATTATTTATTTACTTATTTATTTATTTATTTATTTATTTTTTTTTTTTTTTTTTTTGATACAGAAATGGTTTGATAAAGTGTTTTTTCATTATTTTTGTGAGCCTCAATCAAAAATCGTATCGAAATAGAAATATTTTTCTGATATAGAATTAAATTTGAGAAACTCAATTTTTAAAAATTTTCATAATTTCCTGAATCTCCCTAACCCATAACCCTTGTAGAATATATATAGATTTGGAATCTATAACTCAAACATATAAAGTCTGCGGCATTAATATCTGCTCTTGAAGTCTAGGTCTAGTCTAAAAAAGGTCTTCTATATTTCCTAAATTTTCCGGAGGATAAGAAGGACTCTAGAATCAATCCGAAACGGGAGGAGGAACTCCAGCTTCCTTTTTTAGAAAATATGTTCCTCAATTATCTCCGGAATATATGGAGTTTCATAAAATTATCTTTCATAAAAGATATTGTTCTCAAAAGTCTTTTTAAAAATATATCTCTAGAAAGAGTTGAAATCTGCGGCATTTCATAGACTTAAAATCTGCAGCATTCAAAATTTGATCTTGAAGTATTTTTTTTTACTTTTTTCCTAAAATATTTCTGGTGGCTAAGAAGTGTCCACGAGCCAAAAAACGCATCGACGGCATTTTTTTCAAAAAAATTTCTAGAACTCCAAATGTTTAAATCTGAAGAGCTCCAGCCTCACTTTTTTATGAAATCTTCTTCCTCAATTATCTCCGGGATGTATCCAATTTCTCAGAGTTACTTTTAATAAAAGATATTTTTCCTCAAAAACCTTCTGAAAAATATATCTTTGGAATCTATAACTCAAAGATTTGAAATCTGCACTTTAAGTCCTTGGTTGGAAACATTTTTCTAAACTATCTGAGAATTAAAATAATTTTTACTCTTTATACTCTTCTTAAGAATTAAAAATCATTGTCTTCTAATTTTTTTCATATTCAATAGAATTTCTCCTGCAAAGTGAATTTTTTCTTCACAAAATTCTCCAACAAATTTTTGATATATGTTAACCAGAACTTGGAAAAGTTTCAGATATTCTTTTGCCTCAATAAGCCCCAAATAAGGATCCTGATAAGTTTTCTAACACTTTTGAAAAATTATAAAAAATTACATATTTTAGACTAATTTCTACATTTTCAGGCTTTCCATGACCCCCTGAATATTGTCAATGGCTTCAAACTGGTCAAAATTGGCTTTTAAAACTGTTTTCTAAAATGTATTGCCAATAATGTTGTACCATCATTGGAATGGTGGGTTAGCCAAAGTAGTTTGCCGATACTTTCATTATCTCCTCAGAGTTCCCAAATTTATTTCTAATTCTTGTTTCCCTTTTTCGGTAAAACTTCTCCAAATTTCCCACAATTATCTTCGAGCTACATACAAAATTTTGCACCTTTCTTTTCTAAATTCGAGAAGAAAAAAGTGATAATTTCCTATTCACCATACAAAAACACCTTCCCACTTTTGTTACGTTCAATTAAACAAAATTACCGTGACATTTACCCCCCCAAAAGAAACAACAACAATAAGACAACAAAATATTGTTATAATCAGGTGTAATATGTCACTTTAAAGTGTACACTCTTCTGTTCCTTCTTGGTGTGTGTTTAGATGATTCTACGGTAGCCGGCAACAACACACAAAAAGAGCCGACTTGTGCCACTTGTCAAATAATTTTTGCCTCCTCAAAAACGAAGTTATCATAATGAAAAATCTGTCGTTATTTGTTTAAGAGAACCCAGAAAGCAAGACAGTGGACAAAAGGACCCTCTAAGTATTTAACACACTCTCTTCGAAAGTGAACCATGGTTGGTTTAGGTATCATGTCCCATATATCTTGCTTTGTCCTTTGCTAGCCACCAAACATAAGAAAGAACTAAATGTTGTCGTCCGAAGACGAACTGTTGACAAGCAGACCAATTGATAACCTGCTGTGTGACAAAACACTCAACTTGTTTAATTGTCTGCCAGCGATGAGTATCAGCAACGATTTCCATGATAACAAGACAAGAACAAAAAAAAAACGAAAAGTTGAAGAGAAGAAACGGTGAAAATAATGTGACAGGTAAAAGTCTTTGAAGTTATCCTCCTCACAAGCCAAAAGAAAAAAAGAACGTGTGTGTGATCATAAAAACCTATCGGAACTGAAAGCAGGAGGAGGAAGCGAAGGTGGCACCTGTTCCATCCCACCGTTTAGGGTAATAGAAAAACTCAAATGTTTGAAAGGAAATGTGTGGATAAGCCAATGAATGAATGAACTTTATCTGGGATATAATTTAATTAGTTCAATGAGCAAGGGCAGAGGGAAGGGGACCAGGAATTGAAATTGATACCAATTTAAATATTTTGGATACTCATTAAATGTAATATAAATTATAGACAAAATTCTCGCCTTACTAGAAGAGAGAGTAAGCGGTAAAATTGTGGAAAAGTAGAGACTGAAAGTAGAGCAAATTTTTGGAATGGAAATTAGGGCAAATTCTTCAAAAATGTAAAAATATGAAATTTTTTTTCTATCGAGTTTGGGATCAGGCCTTTTAAGTGGTTTTTCTAAAAAAAACAGCTGCAAAATACTGCCATGAGGAGCTACAAGTCTACAATAGCCTACTTCAGAAATTATTTACAAATTTTCTCCGAATTTCAGTGTTTGCCGTGGGCACCCTGAGGAAAATTAAAATTTAATTTACGACAAATAGATCTTGAAACTCGAATTAAAATCTACGTACAACATATTGATCTAAAATTTTGCTCTGAAAAATTAAGGGTCACAAATAAGCCAGTCTCCCAGAATTTTAAAAATATTCTCCCACTTTCCGTTTATATTCGACTTGGGGACCTAGGACTTTTAAAAATACAAGGTTTTAAAAACTTTTCCACAGAGTAAATAGCTTTTAGACATTGGTTTGGAAAAGATTTCCAGGTTTCCCTCGCTTTCAGTTCATATTGGCCCTCCCTAAAAGGTAAAGATTCGAAAACTTTTTGGTTTTTCGATTTTGGTTTATAATTATTCCCTTTCTGTATTAAAGTCTGTCTTTATTATAATTTAAAAGGCAAATTTCAAAACTAAAAGTTAATAGGCAAGGTTTAGAATTATTTTCAATTTTTCCTCGCTTTCAGTGTATATTGGCCCTCTTATAAGAGAGAAGAAAAGGCTAGGAATTTTTAGTTGCCTAAGTTTGGAAAATATTTCCAAATTGTCCTCACTTTCAGTTTTTATTGGCTCTCTCTCCTGGGGAAAGAATAGGCTAGTTAGGGAAATTTTGAAAAATATCCTATTTTTAGTTCATATTGGACTTTAGGACCCAGGAGTACTAAATGGGCCAGGTTTGGAACACTTCTCCACATTTCCAACGGCTTCTATCCAAAAACAACACTGGCTTTATTTTAAATTATAAACTGACAGACAAATTTTGGAACCCAACTTTAATATAGAGAAGGTTAAGAAAAGATTTTCCAACATTCAGCTTTTCCCATTTATTCATTCCTCTCTTCAGATCATAAAGTTATGCCACTGGCAAGTTCAGAAACAGTTCTTCCAATAGAGGTTAGAAAAAGTTCATCCAAATTTTCACCTTTTTACTTTCTTTCGTTTTTCACTTCAAAGCATAAGGTTATGCCACTGGCTTTAGTTTAATTTGCCAAGTCTAAGCGATATATAAACCAACCAAAAGACAAATTTATTTACTTCGTTCTTAAAGAAAAAACCGCAAACCCTTCTACATCGAAAAAAAAAAAAAACTGTTCCATTTCCTTTTGGTGTCAGGCTTATCAGTGCAACTATAATACGAGGAGAATTTCCAGCAAAAAACACCTCGGAAAATGTGAGAAATGTTAACTCCAGCCAACACTATTTCATGTTAGCTCCAGACCACAAAAAAAAGAAACTCCGCTGCACTTCATAATGATATGCAAACTTGGTTTTTGTCTGCCAAAGCAAAAAAAAAAAAAAAAACACCACTCGAGGAAAAAAGAAATTCTAAAAAGAATTATAGACTAAAGTGTGAAGTGGGCATTTTTAAGCGTTCCACTTTTTTCTTTCTTCCTCCTCCTTTGATGGATTTCAGAGATCTGCGATAAACACAAGTTTTTTTTATTTGGTTCCGCATTGAAAATAAAAGCGGAAGAGTGGTTTTTCATTGGGAATAATAAAATAATTACAAAAATAACATTAATGTAGGGAGAGAGAACCGACCGGTCGGCCATCATGACCCCTAGGCCCAACAAAATGGAAGCCGTATCGCACAATTACTGGTAATTGTGTGTTGCTGGGTGTCTGTTGAAATCATTTCAATTAACGAAACGGGCCAGTTAAAGCTCACTAAACTTGATTGTGGATAAGCAACATGGTCGTCACTCGCACACACACACTCTCACTAATACAAAAGCAAAAACAAAACAAAAATTAAGTCAACATGAGGAACTTAATAATCATGTCTCGAATGATGGTCATGGTCATGATGATAACAATAATTTTTACTTAATTAAATAATTTTTTAATAAAAATAAACGACACTTACCTCCTCCTCCAAAACCCTGACCCGGAAACAGACCAGGTGGTCCAAATGGTGGCATTTGCCTGGCACCTGGCCATGGCACACCAGCTCCACCAATACCTCCCCAGGCCACAGCGGCCGCTGCTAAAGCACTAAACGGTGTTGGCCTAATTGGTCCATGTCCCGACGCCGCCAAGACAGCAGGTGACAGTAGATGCGGAGAATTGGCCAATGAGTTGGGATTACCATCTGGTGATTTACTTGTATCCAAGCCGTCGGGTGTTGAGCGGGGTGAATCATCAGCATTCATATCTTCAATATCCACAATGGAATCTTCCTCTTCATCATGTCCCAGATCTTGATCATTCAAATCATCATCGTATTCCAGCTCCGAATCAATGGAACTGCCAATGGGTGAGTTACGTTCACATTTGGCCGTTGCCATTGCCGTCGCCGAGGAGGAGGATGAGGAGTTGGTTGTGGGCAGTGGTTCGGGGCCATTATTGGAACTGGCGCCGGATGATTGTGGTGGGGTGGTTGTGTTGTTGTTATTGTTATTTGAACTTTCACTGTTCGCCGGATTAACACCACTCGAGGCAGCCAATAACATGGGTCCCGCCGCTCCAGGTGGACAGGCACTTGGATTCAACGGATGTCTCAGATGGGCGGGTAAATGATGAGGTAAATGTACATGAGCAGGATTGCCACTTGGATTATTGGTGGCCCCCACTGCGGCCGCCGCCGCTGCTGCCATGGCGGCTGCATGTTGCTGCTGGGCCACATGGGCCGCATGCAGCAAATGTGCATGATGAGCCATGGTCACCGGATGAAACTGGGGCGGATGTGTGGCAGCGGCTGGATGATTTGGTGAGGCAGGCGATGACGAGGATTCATGTGAGACAGGTGAGGTGGCCGCCGATGGAGTACTGGACAAATTCGTTGGCATATTATCACCATAATTGTGACTGGGAGACCTTGGCCTGGTATCGGCCAGCAATGAAGCCACACTGAAATTGCTCAAACGGGATGTGGTCTTGTTCAGGGTGTGCTGGTGCGACTGCTGGAGGTTACGTAAATGCTGTTGATGGGCCATAATCAGGGCCGATGGTGATGTGGGTGTTGTTGTGGTAATGGCCGTTGCCGGTGGCGATACCACAACGGTGGTAGTGGAACTGTTTGAATTCATAGCGGTTTGCGGTGGTACCGTCGGGCTAGTCATATTCACACGTAAACCAGTGACAGTCATACCTGATGACAGTTTTAGCATAAATTTCGATTTTTTTCGTTCTTTACTTTTTTTTGCGGTGGCGAGTCCGTTAGTTTTGTGTTAAAGCCAGAATTTTAAATTTTCCTTTAAATATAATTTTTTTATTTCAAAATCTTTTCTTAATAACACATTGCACTTTTTTATTGTTTGTTGCTTTCGGTTTAGTTTAGTTATATTTGCATTTTGCTGATAAGTAAGTTATAATCACTTGTTTTTTATTTATTTTATTTTTTGTTGTGCTTGGCAATTATTTCCAATAATTGGAAAATTTGTTTTTAATTGCCTTGATTGGTTTCTGATTAATTTTTAACAAATCAATTTTTTTTTTCTTCATTTATTTATTGTTGATTGTAATTGAAAAATTATAACACTTGATTAGAAAAAAATTCTTTGATTATTTCTTTTTTGTTGTGTGTTTTTTTCTCTTTATATTTTGTTGTTTTTGTTTTGCTTTACTACGTTACAAAACAAGCGCTCGTTGACATCAGACACGTCCTCTTGAGATCACGACTGTTTAACAACTAAACTGTAATGTGTGCAAGGGAAATCTCGGTTCATTCACTTGCCGCACACTCAACGAACCAAAGTCACAAATGCACACACACAACGGCACAAACACATCCATAAGTGAGCAGAAAAAAATAACAAACCCCGAAAGAGACAAATTGAGCATTTAACAACAACACATCGGAGTTCTCATTGCCCATAATGGTGGTGGTTTAAGCCTATCAAACAAGACACAACAAGAGGAGGTGGTTGTTTTTATCAAAGAGATCAAAGATATATTGCTTTCTCTTTCTGTTAATATAAGCCAGCAAAGATATTAAGTGTAAACACCATTTTTATTATTGCGCTCTCATTTAAGTTACTCTAATAATCATTGCCTCTTTCTCTCACACATTGAGTTGATGTACACCTCGCTCAGTGTGGTGAATATCTGGTAAATTTCTCCTTTTATCATAAAGAGAGAGCACACATTAAAAACGGAACGCCTCTTTTATTTCATTCATAAGGCCAAACTGAGTATGGTGAGTTCTCTTGGCTATTTAAAATGCTAGTATTTCCCTAAAGAGGGGTAAATATGAAAACAATATATTTTCTTTAAGTAGTTTTATCTCTTTTTCTCTCGCAACAAAATAACCCCACAAGGCAGGCAAATGGAAATTAAACCGCATACAACACTCTATTGGAAAAGAAGATATCATTCAGTAACGAAAATAAAAACCCCAGCCAGCTAGCAATCACATTAAACAACTAACACCAACAACAACAACGGCAATTATTTGACAACGTTGAATGTTATTTAAACTCTATTACTCTTAACAGCCATTGTGGTTTTTAATAATTCGTAATAGCAAAGGCAGCTGGTTTTTTTCGTTCTGTTCTTGTTGTTGTTGTTTGTGAATGCATTTTTTCCATCGGACTGCAAACACCAAGAGTGATGTTGAAAAGTCAACTTTACGGAATTTGTTGCTGTTTGCTGCGTTTTTTCTTGTTTTCTTCAACTGGCATTGTTATTCTTTGCCACTGTTGTTGTAGTTCATATAATTTTGTCACCTTTTTAGTTATGGTTCCGTGTCATGTTCGCTTTTTTGAAGAGTTTTTCTTGCGTGTGTAAGCATGTGTGTCTTCTTTTGGCATGGTATTCGTGTTTTATTATTGTGGAATTAAATAAAGTTTTTAATATGAAATAAGAAATGAATGAATGGAGACGAAACCAACGGGAGGTTAATATTTTCACAAATTTTAAAGAAAATTAACATGAACCAAAGAACTCCAATTTTATGTGTATTTTTAAAAATTTCGATTTTTTTGAAGAAAAAAGAACGGCAGGATTAATTTTGACAATTTGCACCAATTTGAAATAGTCTCTTGGCAGAAGAGAATTCAACAATTTTTGTAATTTTTAAAATTAATTAGTTTTTTTTAGTTTTAGTTGAAAGAGTGTGGAAAATATAATTATTACTGTTTCGAGGTATTTCAATCTGAACAGCAAAAATAATATGCCCCTATCGTATAGAAAAAAGTATAAATTTTGGTCAGCCCGAAGCCTTGATGTCCTCAATAATGGTTGTCCTGCTGGATTGTCTAACTGTTACGCATTCTTATGGAAATACGGAAATCTTCGTAAGAGCTTTAAAAGTCTAATAATTGGCAAGGAAGACAGAACATTTTATTCCTATACTTCGTGGCACGAATATAAATGTGGACAATGCACAAAGGATAATTAAAGAGTACACTTTAGTGAGGATATTTCCATTTTTTTCTAATTTATCCACTTAACCTAACGATGTTATTTTAATTTTTGCTCTTCTGCACGTTCCTATGCCTCTTGAAATATCTAGAAATTATTGCGCATTTTAGTACACCTCTCAAGAATGTAGATTACAAAGGTTCAGTATTGTGACGTTCCTAATCTAAGCATCCACTTCGCGTACAAATCAAATAACTTGATCAGAGGATAATATCCGCACAAAAATATTATTGAAAAAACTCCTATTCATATATGTTTTGGATGTGGGATTTTTATCGAATCGGTTTTTAATATTTGCAGAAATAGCTATTTAAAACCTACAACGAATTCGGCGATATTATATAAATTTAAAAAAAAAAATAAATAAATAAAAGTTATACGTGTGGGGAGGATAACTCTAAAATTTGTGATCCAAATAAACATTTTGTTACTGAAACATTTAACTAAAGGGAAAAAATCAAAACAATATTAAAACACGTTTTTTCATTTAATTTAAATTTAGTTTTTTTTGAAAATCATTCACTTCAGTGCAGGAAAGGAAATTTCGTATATTTTTTTTTTTTTTTTGGTAAAATTTTACGAACAGTATAAATGGAGTTTTAAATTATGTGATATGTTTGTAAAATGAATTTTAAAGTTGTACATATGTAAATATCGACGAACTTTAGTAATAATTATTAGAAAACTTTATCTGAACAACGCATACTTTCAACGAGATGGCTCTATATTTTCACCGTGCCACAGAGCAACGAATCCATTGTTTTTTATGGGAAAAGATTCCGAACCAATATCTTTTGAAGGGGTGAAAACATTTGGCTATCGAGATCTTGTGATTTAACACCTTCGGCAATAGCCCACCATTCAATTCGTCAAAGATGGAATTTGGTTGGATGTCGAGGTCATAGGGCATGTGGCCCACTGGTCATTTGACTGATCAAAAAATTATATTTTTCTTAAATTGCCACAATAATGTCTCTTATTGAAAAACTTTGTATATATTTAATTTTTGGGAGGATTACGTCAGATAGAGAATTCGGCTATGACACTTAGCATAATTAGAAAATTAACTCACTACGTTGTTTATATTTTTATTAACATGCAACATGATAGACCAATTTTACAACAATGAAATGTTCTGAAGAGTTGTTTACCATATTCAAAGTATGTTCTGGAATCATATGTAACAATATGAAAATATTTTTTTTACTTTATAATTGATATACCTATTTTCATCATGACAGCAGGCTAAGATGCAAACAAAATCCAATTTGGTGTTTTTAGTTGCGGCCTGTACTTTCATAAAATACTCGGCAGAAGTTGTTGACACCCGATTACCTTAAGAATATCGCAAAGTGTTATATGGAAGCTATTGGAAAATTATATATACCGTTAACAGATTTTATCTGTCTCAAATATCTGTCCCAAATAATCATTTATCTGTGCTGAACGAAGTGAACGTTTTCAAATTATGTGAATAAATATTTCTGTCAAACATTGTTGTCAGGGTTCTGGGCACCTAAGAAATGGTATATTTTTTGACACATTTGGCCCTTTTCGAAATTCATTCCTGTATACGTTATCGATGGGTTTTAGAACATGCATTGCCCTCCTTCTCCTCGGGATGTCAGTGGAAAATAGGAAAATAGGGCCGACCATGTGATACCCTGCAACAGCACAATATGTTAGAAGCCCTCTTATGTCCAAATCCATTTTAAAAGATTTTGCTTTTGAACTTGTGTCACGAAGCACTGCCCAGATGTTAATCTTAGCATTTTGACCAGGAATATTTGCCCAATATTAACGCACTGCGTCGTGCTGTAAGTTAGTTGTTGTGGTCCATTTTACAGCTAAATATAATCCAATGGTCATCCAAAATGCTAAAATTCACACATATATATATGAGTTCCTTTTCTACGATATTAGGCTATATTCGTCAACGAAATCAACATAAAAAAGCCAGAAGTTCGTTGCTAATGCTGGTATTTTTTCACACAAAAGTAGTGGTTCATTCTACCCGCTGTCCTGAACTCCAATTTCATGCTAGATTTCGTGTCCTTTGGTTTCTATTTGTGACCTTTATAACGGCTGCAAAATAAAGAGCATTTTTATTTGTTGGACCATTTCAACTCCTAAATAAATTGCGGACATCTTTGAAAACAATAGGCCTAGCCCTTCTAAGCCTAACCCTACTCTTGTGAAAAATTTCGTGAGGGTCTCTTCAATATTATAAGTCAAATTGAAAAAAATCGCATGCGATAAAAAATATGAAAAAAAAAAAATAAAAATATGTCACAAAATATTACAAAATCTATATTAACATCAATATTTGCATCTTTTTATGATACTTTATAGATTTCATCCTTTTAGGGCATTCTGAATTGACAAAATTTGTCAAAATCGGTCTAGCCATTCTTGAGATATGAGCATTCTAGCTAACACCCTCTTCCTTTGTATATACACATTGTATATATTTCGCTGTATATATACGAATATTTACTATCGGCATGTACGTAACGGTCAGAATTGACCTGTTTGTCTATTTGTGATTTCGCCAGGATTATAAATATTCGCGGTTTAATGGAAAATTTGACTTTTATTTTACAGAAATGTTATGGTATATTTCACCCACTAAATATTACCCGATGACCATCCAAATTGGAAGACTTCTGCCCAACCCTAAGCTCTAGCTCAATGCTGTGTTTCGCATCGATGGGTCTATAATTGCGACCATTAGAGCAACTGCAAAATCAGGAAATTATTCAGTTTTTGGTCTTTTCGACCCCTAAATATTGTGCGATCATCTCCAAAAACAATAGAGTTCTATTCTGACCCTATCCCCACCTCCATTTTCAATTTCGCGATGATCGGGCCATAATTGCTACCTGTAGCGTGATTACAAATTAACATGGACAGACGGACGGACGAACGGACATACATAGATAGATCGACTCAGCTCGGCGAGATGGGAAGATCCATATATACTTTCCTATATGGGAAACCAATATTTCGAGGTGTTACATAATTTTTGGGCTAATCAAACTTATAATACCCCCAACACAAAGTGTTGTAGGGTATAATTATTAAATAACAATTTTTTATAAATAATTTTAGAGTATTTTTTACGATACAAGATCTAGTTTAAAATACAAAACTTTTCAGCCTTAAAATTCAGTATGACTGACCCACAGATTATAACATAACGCCATCCTAAAGTCGACAAGGGCTTAACATCTTAAACCCGAATTATTTATTTCATTTCATAATTTCATTTCATATTACTTATTAA